TATACTCACATTGTCCCAAAATAAATGTCCAATCTTAGTACAATTTTGTATTAAAGTTAGTATTCTCTCTGTTCGAAAATACTTGTCATCAAAATGGATAAAAGAGGATTTATCTAGACGTATTTTAGTTCTAGATGCATCTCTTTTTATTCATTTTGAAGACAAGTATTTTCGGATGGAGGGAGTATAAAATTGAGACATTTATTTTGGGTCAATGGAATAGAACCGAGGTATTTAGACGGTTGTCAGGGCTATCAAAAATCTTAGATGTAGGCTTTTTAACATTTTATTTTGCATGTTGCATATGTATTATGATACTGCTCCCTGGAAAAAAATTATACCTCTATTTAAATCATAGTTGTATATATGAATTCCAGGAAGTTCAGAGGTGTCCAAAAAACATTTTCGTAGGTATGCATTCAGGCATATAATACTTACTAACACAGAGATAATCTTGATATATAGAATTGACTAATGATAATTGATACAGACATAGTTGACATAGTCGTTCATTATGATGGACATGAACGCATTGGGGGATACCCAGGTGCTGAAATATATAGAGAGGTCACCTTCATGGATATGTGGTATGTGTAGTTTGGTATATAATAGTTTCAACTCTTTTATACCAAGTAATCGAAATTAATTCAAAAAATCCTTGACATGGTTACCATTTTCAAATATTCCAAATTGTAGGGGCAAACTCATAGTTGTTGGGATTTGGGGTGGCAACTTGATTCAGAACTCATATAGGTGGTCAACAACTAAAGGCGGTAAATCTATTGTCCTTGCCACTATGCTTTGTCAGGATTGCATATGTATTGCATATTCTAAGAAAGTGTATTGTTATGTCGACCTAAATATTTTTTTAACTTGGCAATAGGAAATCTGGAAACTTCAAATTACACCACGCTTGCATTCAACCCGGATCATACTGCAGCAGCGCACTTAATGGTGAGTAGTTATGACTTATTATCAACTAAGTACAAATCAATTACTTATGACTGTTATTAATATATGTAGACAAAGTTTAAATATTATTAAATGCAACATTTATAATATTTTTTTTACAAATATTCGCTAGAAAATAATAGGTGGGTTGATTGATATGAAGTTTGTTCAGCAATTTATTCAGTGGAGGTGGGCTTTCCTAGCAAGCGAGTTGTCTACAAAGGATCCCGACACAGAATGTATACAAAGAAAGTTCGCCGCATATAGTACAGATAGTAGACATTGGTTATGTCTATTACGCATGATTGTGTGTTTCAATTTGCAAGTGTAGTTATCACGTACTTGGGTTGTATCTGTTTCGTCACGTTTGTTTGTATCTATAGTGTTTTAAGGGGTGTACTAATTTTACGGATGATTTAGTTATTATCTACATTTAAAAACAAGTTTGTCCATGTTCATAGATTTTGAATTACCTTTGACATTGTTCTTTTGTCGAAATATATTCCATAAAAAGCACTCATTTAAAATATCCAAGTCCATGCTATGACTTTGTCGAGTAATCTTTTCACATCATACTTCGTGTGTCCGTGGCAACGCACGGGCATTCAACTAATTTTTTTTTTTAGAAAAGGAGGATGACGGGCATTCAACTAGTACACACTAAAGCACTTAATAAACTAGATCAGGTACTGTAGCAACATGTCCTTTTTTAACAGACGGTGAGAGCAGCGAAGCGAACTATAGGTATGCAGTTTCTGATGCTCTTCCCATCGGCGCGCTTATTCTTTCTGTTTCCGATTACTTTGTGCCTACCTTTCCCACTGCTACACTTATTTCTTTTTATTCATTTCTGTCTCTGTAAAAATTATTTCATAGTAAAGTCGACTCAAGTATTTCATCCTAATCCGACAAATAGCCCACAAACATGAATAGTTTTCCACCCTGCTTTCTTACCAGGCTAGACTGTGAGAATACTACAGAGAGGATATCTCTAAATCAAGTGGCACGTCCACTAGAGAAAACCGCATGTACACCTTCTTTTGCCTTCTTTTCGTGTCACCATTTCTTATACTAAGATGGGCCTAAGTTATTTAAAATTTGATAATTTCCTGTGTATTTATAAGTTCATACAGATAAGATTATTGTATCTATTTCTTCCTAGACAGAAAATACATCTTCTGACTTTTATACTTTTCCATAGCTTCACACACACACAAGCAATATAGTTTTTAATCATCCAGATTTACCATGAATCTCAGCAATCAGCCTTTTAAAGAGGTGTTCATGAGTGTACAGCTGCACACAAGGATTTGTGCCATGTGGCACTATCCATTTACCATTGAGTCCCTTTCTCCGTTGGGCAGGCAACCAGCCGAGCCTATTCTCGCTGGTATAAATCAAATACTTGCTTGACACTGAAATTAAACCAGTCATCCACAGGACCAGTGAAGGAACAAAAGTTATTTCTTCTTTTCCAGACCATTGGGAAGCTGTCTAGGTATCCAGACTTAGCAGATAAAAGGAACACTCTGTATGCAAACAGTGTTCCGCACTGTTTTACAATCACATCTAATGACAGTTCCAAGCGACCAAAGAATCACAATATCTATGAAAAGTTTTCCTCTGTATCTCGAGCAGATCCAGTTGTAGAACCAATATTGAGCCCCTATTGTGCACTTGATTACGTGCCATTTTCTACAGGCGCTTTGATACACGGCCAGTTAAAATGTTCAGGCGATTGATGACATCATAGTACCTTAAAGGCCGGTAAAAGGAGTTTCTAAGAAGCGCGAACGCTGTGAGAAGTAAGCTAGCCTAGGCAATATTTAGAAGATTTGTTTACTGAATTTTGTCTTCCTATCCATGCTAACTATTGCAATCCATAACTTCTATTACCTGACAACCGCTTTTCTATTGAAGGGGTAAATAGAAAACTAATGATTTGATCAACATTCTATTGAAGGAGTAGATCATCGATGCTTACGGCTGCGGGGCTCGTGGAGCCAGAAGAGGCTGTCGGCGCCAGCGACCTTGCCGTCTTTGTCCTGTCCAAAGGTATACAGATTCCTTGCCTTGCCTCCTGACCTCACCCATGAACTACATCCATCCCCAACTCCGCTCTTATCTCTTAACTCTTTTTCCAGTTCTGCTATCATGGAAGATGTTATATAGCGATGAGTTTTTCCCTCCTTTAAAAAATAGATGGATAAAAGATTTTAGTTCAGTTGATGGTGCACTGTGAATACTTTGAGCATGAAGCCGATCCATATTTAAAAAAATGGTTTGGTGTGTTCTATTTAGATGTTTATGTGACAAGAATTCTTTCTTTCACTATTCATGACTGATTACAACCGAACAGTAGCAAGGCTCACCCACCTATCATGACTCATTATATAGTTCATTTGTTTGAATACGAATCTGGAATTTGTAAACCACTGTGATAGCTAGAGCATAGTCAAGGTGTTGGTGTGTTACTATATGTATTGAAGAGAGAGAGGCGCAGTAGTAGATCCATGGTGTCTGTTGCTGTATTTATAGTCCATATGGGTGCATGACTAATGTGTCAACCATAAACTATTATTTGCAAAAGCAAGGAACATAAACAATAGGTTGTTGTATAGCTAGGTAAATTACTCTTTTCAGGTTCACCGTCATGTTTTATTAGAAATTACATTGTCTATGGATAGTGCATCTCAGGGGATCGCAGTGAAGATGCAAGGTTTGA